GGCTACATAAAAATCCCCAACTTGGCTACATGGCAGCACAAACGTTTGATTGTGTGAATTCCGCACGCATTGACCATCACACAAAACGATGCCTACCAACAGCTCCTTTGAAAAGAAAGCCATCCAGAGACTGCTTTAAAGACAGTTTAATGCCAACTGCAGGCTCACGGTGTTATTCAGTTATCGTTTCTCACACAAAACAGCCCCAGTATTCAATAATCAAAAGAAGACACAACTGCAACACCAGCTCCCAGACGGTGTCGAGTAAGAGGCCGAGAATGAATGGCGCAGTTCCCACTCCCAGACCACAGGCTGCGCTACTGTGCATGCGACACGTAACAGAAGCACAGTCATTCCAGGTCCCCACCGCACTCCAAGGACCTAAAACTCCTACTGCAAGAGGTATAAAACATACTGCTTCTGGACTTAAAAAGACATGGCAGAGTTAAAAAAATAGAGGAAAGCTAAGGTATGAGTTACACTGAATTTGTACCCTAGATGTTGCCCCTTAGTAGTGTCGAAGGAAATAACCAACTCTGTAAAAATAATAACTAACGTGGTTTATTTTTCTCTCTCTCTCTTTTTTTTTTTTTTTTGGAGGGGTTTTTTCTATTGTGCGCTCACCAGAAAGACAGAGAGAGACAGAGAGACAGGAAGCGAGAAATCACCCCCGGGGGGGATGGCCATGCCACAATCCCTTCTCCTCCATTCTCCTCTCGGGATCCTGGGCACACACACACATGCACCCGGCGTGAGTTTAAGCCACCGGGTCCGGGACGCAAACCGTGGTCGACTACGTGGGAGTCCAGCAACATAGTCATTACGCTAACTGCTGGTCCCTAATGTGGTTTATTTCTAAGCAGAATATGAGTAACCTAGGCCCAGAGAGGAGGCACACATGCCTTTCTCGGGGTGATCAGGTACAGGGGTCCCTTCTGTCCGCAGAAGTTAGGGCTCTCTGACCTTGGACTTGATCTGTGAAACTGGAAGATGTCATCCACTACAAGCAGCTGTTCATGACTTTAAGTGAGACAAAGAATGCTAACAGTTTAACAGTGTGGAGCGCTAACCAGAGATGAGACGCATGCTTCAGTGTTTTCCCTGAGATGTGGGGAGAGCTGTACTAGACACTAGTCCGTCAAAGAAGATACAGTATCCCCAATGCGGATTTATATTTTGAATAGTGACAAACAAAATTTTAGTTAAGTATGTGCCTATTTTTATTTTTTTATATTTTTGCCATATGGCACATGAGCTCATGAGAGACACAGGGGGAAAGTGAGGAATCATCCCCCAAGGGGATGTCCACACCACAGTCCCTTTTCCTCCATTCTCCTCTCTGGATTTTGGGTATGCAAGCACACAGGTGGGCATGAGTTTCACGCTGCCAGGTCTGGGTCTTGAACCATAGTCAGCCATGTGGAAGTCCAGTGCTTTTACCACCATGCCACCCGCTGTCCTCTGTCCCAATTTTTATAAGACACACTTATCTAAAGTTCAAATGTAACTAGGCATCCCATATTTTTATTTGCTAAATTCGATGACCCCACAAACACATTTTTCACTAACTATAAAATTTATCTTTCCTTCTTTCTCTATTCAATTATGTTTGGGAGAGTCAGAGAAAAGGAACAGACTGGAAATAAGGAGGAAGATTTAACTTATATAGCAAGTTTTGCAAACTGTTAAATCAAAAGAATACGAAGGTTTAGCATTGGAAAAGAACTGCAAGTGCAGTCCCTCTGAAACAAAAGCAAGGTAGAGGAGTGATACTCAAATTTTGAGACTGGGAGGACACCCGTGAAACTCCAGTACTATGTGAAGTAGGCAAGATTATCAGCTGAAAAGGAAGAAGGCTATGTGAATCTGACTGAGGAATCCTCCTTATGAATTAGATTAAGCAATTCATCAAAAAAGGGTTCCTATGTATTTTGAACATGTGTACACTGTACAACATCAGCTTATTTTTAAATGAGCCAAAGCTAAGGAGATTGTTACAGAAATAATATTTAGTTCCTGCACTAAAATTCTGAGAATTTCACGGAGTGGAAATGGGCAAAGAATCTCTTTCCAGCAGAGCCTCAACTTCGTGTGTCAACATATAATACAAATCTGTGCACCTCAAAAGGTAAAGTGTCTTTATTTAGAAGTATTTTATTTAACTTTATTTATTTATTTATTTATTTGACCAGAGAGGGACAAAGTGAGAGAGAGAGAAAGAGAAGGAAAGTGAGTCAGCAAGCATCCAAGTCCAAGATCTGAACCATGGTCCACCATGTAGGAGTCCAGCATCCTCAACCCCCAAGCCACCTGCTTAAAATATCATTATAGGAAAAAAATATAGAGAGATTAAATATGTCTTTTGTCACTTCCTACACATATACAACTTTATGTTGAGATACCAATTTGTACATTCTATTAACGCTAGTCTGAATCAGTAAGAAAAGCACAGTGCTGGGACCAGCAGTTAGCGTAATGGCTATGTCGCTGGACTCCCACTTAGTCGACCGCGGTTCGCGTCCCGGACCCGGTGGCTTAAAACTCACGCCGGGCGTGTGTGCGTGCGTGCCTAAGATCCCGAGAGGAGAATGGAGGAGAAGGGATAGTGGCGTGGCCATCCTCCCTGGGGGGTGATTTCTCGCTTTCTGTCTCTCTGTCTCTGTCTGTCTGGTGAGCATACACGCCCTATAGCAAAAATCTCTCCAAAAAAAAAAAAGAAAAGCACAGTGCTTTAAAGAACCCAGAAAGTACACCACCACGCCGCGGCACTCCCTGGCGGAGGCAAAGGAGCCGCCGTGCCGGCTGTTACGGATCACCTGCCCTGGCTCGTGCACTGTTACAGCACCGTTTGTACTAAATCATCCAGTCTTTACACTTTAAACCAGACAGTTATTCTGATTTTACAGAGGAGAAAGGAAACATTTGCCAAAGAAAATCCAAACAATCTGGGGCTCTGCGGCTCCGACTTCAGTTCCGAGGCCACAGGACATTCAGGCAGGACTGAAAGAAGGCCTGGCCTTGAATCCTGGACCATCCCTTGGCTGACAAGGAAAACCGTGTTCCCTAACCTTTGCTCTTCACCAGAAGAACGACCTGCCCACGGAAGCCGTATGCTGGCTGTGACAGGGGAGTAAATACGTGGGATGCCATTTTCTCTGGAAGACACTTGCTAGGTAAAATGCATGTGGTGAGCTCGTTTTCTGACCCCTATCAGAAATCCTCACACTTTAATTTACATTGCCATAGCTCAGTTGTAAATAAACGAGTGAAAATGCAGGGCTTTTTAAAATTATTTTGGGTAGCTTCTCTTACTACTTACTTACTAATGAAAATGGACAAGTGACATGATGAGTCCTACACTTGTATTTTTCACCTAAAAATGTAAACTATCTAGGGCTCTCAGGACACAGTTGCAAAACCAAGTGGAACAAATGATGCCGCTCTGCCAGAGCCCCTCCACGCATAAGAATGGGAGTGCTGGCCGCTCTGCCAGAGTCCCTCTGCACACAGGAGTGGGAGTGCTGGCCGCTCTGCCAGAGCTCCTCTGCACACAGGAATGGCAGTGCTGGCCGCTCTGCCAGAGTCCCTCCGCACACAGGAATGGCGGTGCTGGCCGCTCTGCCAGAGCCTACTCCGCACGCAAGAATGGCGGTGCTGGCCGCTCTGCCAGAGCCCCTCCGCACACAGGAATGGCAGTGCTGGCCGCTTTCTTATCACTAGCTGCACCTGCAGCAGAGTCACAAAATAAAACCAGAACTTAAAGGGTGTGTGTGTATGTGTGTGTGTGTGTGTGTGTGCATGAAGCTTTGTCTAGGTTCTTTTTTTTTTCCTCCCTAAATTGCCAGAAGGAACACACACTAGTCAGGGAGAAACGCAGAGGGTGAGGGAGAGGGAGCAGGAGAGAGCCCCCCCCACGGGGTCCAGTCATGCTACAGGCCCCTCCTCCATTCTCCATACTGGCAGGGTTTGCGGCATGCATGCCCCCCTCTCACTCTGTCCCTCTCTGGCCATCCCCTCTGGGTGTGTGTGTGGGGGGGTGATTTCTCATTCTTCTTCTGTCTCTCTCCAACAGATGCACCACCCTATAGAAAAAAAATCTAAGAAATACAGGGGGGCAGGGCTGGGCAGCAGGTGTTGCAAGCCACCAGGGCCAGGACAGTGGGCCAGCTCCCTTAACCGCCAGGCCCCAAGGCTGGCTCCAAGGTTCATATACGAACACACAGCCTGCGCCAGACCAGCTTCTCGGAACGGCAGTCTCACCCTGCTCAAGAACAGGGTCCCACAGGGTAACTCCAGTTTCAATAAATAAAGAATAAACACACTTTTAAAATATGGAGTGGGTGGCAACTTCCTTTCCATCATTCTTTTTTTTTTTTTTTTTTGAGAGATTTTCACTGTAGGGCGCGTGCGCTCGCCAGACAGACAGAGAGAGACATAGAGACAGAAAGCGAGAAATCACCCCCCAGGGGGATGGTCACGCCGCAATCCCTTCTCCTCCATTCTCCTCTCGGGATCATGGGCACGCACGCACACGCGCCCAGCGTGAGTTTTAAGCCACCGGGTCCGGGACGCGAACCGCGGTCGACTACGTGGGAGTCCAGCGACATAGCCATTACGCTAACTGCTGGTTCCCCCTTTCCATCATTCTTACTGCACTTTACCCAGCTTAGCTGCCAGAACGTCTCTGATGAAATTTTAACTGAACTGAGAGAGTATTTTCTCCTTATTCCCCCAGTGGCTCTTCCCTTCTCCATTCTCTCTCAGGCACAACCTGGTCAGTCTGATTTTTGCTCTCAGACTACCCTCTCTTTTGAAGCACAAAGACTTGAATCCATTCTTCCAGTAAACCAAATACTGACATTTTATATACATGCAACCGAATTTCTAGACAGTTCTTTCCTGGGAAAATCCTACCATTTCAGTTTCCTATTAAAATTCCCAATAATGTTAGTAAACAATGCACATTTGTATTATTTTAGTTTCAGCCCAAGCATACTGACCTTGAGGTGAGACTGAAGGAAACAGCAAATCCAGGAAGGAAATGTGAAAGAGAAAGTTAGAAAGAATTAATGAGGACAACATTCCGAAATTATCCATAGGCACAGACAACACAGCACAGAGTGGAGGAGGGGACAGTGTCACACAGATTCTGCACGGGCACTAACACGAACTTCAGGTGTTCAACACTCACGTGTATCCTATTTGATCACACCACTGCACTTGAATAACAACGTCTAAATGAAAAAGTTTATCCAACATGTACCGTCTCCTAAGGCAAGAGTAAAGGCGATTCTTACACAGTAGGCTAGCCACCCCTTCCTCACTTAGGTAACCGGGACTGGCGTTAAGTGGGTTTATACTTTTGTCAGCTTGGCTTTCTGTACACGCATCTTAGAATCAATTACTCCTTTATCTACCCTTCTTCCTTCAGAGGATTAAAGTGACCCCAAAGCAGAAAACAGCTTCAACTGCTCTGTAGAACATACAACTCTAATTTACCTGGAAAATTTTGAAATACATTTCTACAAGCTAATCATTTTTTTCCTAATCAAAACCAATATTCCCACTCCAAATTTTCCCAAATCCTCAAATGGTGCATCTAAAGGCAGTGACGAGCAAGAAGAGACGGCTCTTCAACAGTGAAGTATCTCCGCGCAGCAGTAGGAGCTGCCGGGCAGGCAGGCTTTGTGCTCACACAGCCAAGCCCGGGCGGTCCGCACTGCTTTTTCATGACAACTGGCAGCTCTCTCTCTAAAAATTAATTGATTTCTCTGAAACTAGTCTTATCCTCCAAATAACTAAGACTTCAAATGGCCAATGCCACCCTGGTCATCTTCCTGATACATGTTTTACTTTAAGAATATAAAACAGAAGAATTTTTCTTAAAAGCAAGCACCAGTTCAATTTGTACTTTAATGTTTTATAAAACTTAGACTTTCCAAGTCTAATTCAGAGCCTTAACATCCAAGTATTTAAAAGTCTTCATGAAAGTGAGAAGAGGTAAGGAGGGGCTAGACGGTGGTGCAGGGGTAAACACTGGGTCACAGAGAAAGCCATGACACACTTTAGCATAGAAAAAGATGACCTTCCTGATGACCGACTAGGACACTGCGAGGTGGGCCCGTGTTCAAAGGCCCAGGATCACACCTGGAATCTCCCAGAGTACTCCCGGCATACGCGTGCCCATGACTGGGGCTGGCTAAGGCAGGGTGGGCTGCAGCGTGGAGGCCCTGTGGGGGTGCTGTCAGTCTGTGTCTCTGTCTCTATCTGTATCTCTGTTGCTATCGCCCTTGCTCAAGGAAGCAGAATAAATAAACATTAAAAATATAAAAAATCAGGACCAGTAGACGGCATAATGGAATGTCACTGGACTACCATGTAGTCGACCGTGGTTTGAGTCCCGGACCTGGTGGCTTAAACTCATGCCAGGCACGTGTGCGTGTGTGCCCAAGATCCCGCGAGGAGAATGGAGAAGGGATTGTG